TCTACCTGCTAAGTAACAACCTGCTTCAGTGCCTGAACTCCTAAATCTTGTGGTGACATGACCAAGGGCACCAGCCCTAAGGCCATGCCTAGGGTTCTCATAAACCTCTCAAGGAGCCTCCATGGTGTCTGCCCTAGTTTTCCAGGCACCATTCACATTGACCAGAGCCCATAAAGGGTGGCAGAGAACACTAACTCAGCCAGCCCAGAGAACGGGGTAGAAGGGGGCAGACAAGGTGACCCTTCCCATCAACACAGCATTTTGGCTGCCAACCTGACTAGGTGCAGACACTTAGCTAAGCAGCTTGAACCACCTAAGAACCAGCTACCATGGCAACCCCCTACAGTGGGTCATCATGACAACCTGGCAACCTCATCCAGGCTCCCACGTGACTTTCTCTAACAGTAGGGACATTCCTAAGTGCACAAACAGCCCTCTCAGGACTGCACACCCAGGTCTAAACTTGTCCGTCTGCCCCTTTCCTGCACTGGTTGGGTCACTCTGGGTACTCATGCATTCTAGAAGTCTTCATCCATCAAGGTAAGTAGGAGGCAGGCTGCTCTGAAGGGACTGGCTCCTCTCAAGCCTCTGAGTCCCTCGATAACCTGCCCTCAGCTACCCCTGCAACTCTCTTTGTCTTTAATACCAATTTGTTGTCTTAAAGTCTATCTTGTCTAACGTCCGGCCAAGATGGAGGTATAGATAGAAACACTTTGCCTCCCCACACAACCTTACTGTTGTGTGGACAACAGTAAGTGCTGTTGAAGGACAACAACAAATTTAAAAACAAAAAATAACAAGAACTGCCACAAAATCAAACTGTATGGAAGTCCAACAACCAAGGAACAAAAGAAGAAACATTCATCCAGACAGGTAGGAGAGGCAGAGACAGGCAGCCAGGGTGGAGAGGATGCGTGGCAAGGTGGCAGCTGGAGGACTGGGCAGTCCCACATTTGTATGAGGATAAACCAGGAGGAACAACTGTAGAGAGAGACAGACCATGCAATCCAGGGTTCCAGAGTGGGAATAGAAAGCCTCAAAACCTCTGGAGGTAAAAGCCTGTAGGGGTTGCAGTGGTAGGAGAAACTCTCAGCCTCACAGGAGAGTCTGTTGGAGAGGTCCACGGGATCCTAGAATGTACACAAACTCACCCACCCGGGAGTCAGCACCAGGAGGGCCCAATTTGCATGTGGGTAGTGGGGAAGTGACTGACAGCCAGCGAGAGCTGAGCAAGCGGCATTGCCCCCTCTCAGACCCCTCCCCCACACACAGCTTCACAACTCAGCGACCTGGGTTGCCCCGCCCTGGCGAACACCTAAGGCTCTGCTCCTCCCAATGCTATAGGTGCATTGATATAAAGAAATATGGCCCAAATGAAAGAATAGATCAAATCTCCAAAAATAGAACTAAGCGACGAACAGACAGCCGACATATCAGATGCACAGTTCAAAACACTGGTAATCTGGGTGCTCACTGAGTTGACTGAGTATGGTTGCAAAACGGAGGAAAAAGTGAAGGCTATGCAAAGTGAAATAAAGAAAAATATGCAGGAAACCAACAGTAACGGGAAGGAAACTGAGACTCAAATCAATGATTTGGAGCAGAAGGAAGAGAGAAATATTCAACCAGAACAGAATGAAGAAACAAGAATTCAGAAAAATGAGGAGAGGCTAAGGAACCTCTGGGACAACTTGAAACATTCCAACATCCGAATCATTGCAGTGCCAGAAGGAGGAGAGGAAGAACAAGAAATTGAAAACTTCTTTGAAAAAATAATGAAGGAGAACTTCCCCAATCTGGCCAAGGACATAGACTTCCAGGAGATCCAGGAAACTCAGAGAGTCCCAAAGAAGTTGGACCAAGGCTCATCATAATTACATTACCCAAGATTAAAGAGAAGGAGAGAATCTTAAAAGCAGCAAGAGAAAAGGAGACAGTTACCTACAAAGGAGTTCCCATAAGACTATCAACTGATTTCTCAAAAGAAACCTTGCAGGCAAGAAGGGGCTGGCAAGAAGTATTCAAAGTCATGAAAGGCAAGGACCTACATCCAAGATCACTCTATCCAGCAAAGCTACCATTTAGAATGCAAGGGCAGATAAAGTGCTTCGCAGATGAGGTCAAGTTAAAGGAGTTCATCATCACCAAGCCCATGTTATATGAAATGTTAAAGGGAGTTATCTAAGAAAAAGAAGATGATCAAAAACTATGAACAGTAAAATGACAACAAACACAACTATGAACAACTGAATCTAAAAAAACCCCCCCAAAAACCCCAAAGCAAACAACTAGAACAGGAACAGAATCATAAAAATGGAGATCAGAAGTGGAGGAAGAATGGAGGGAAAGGTACAGGGAATAAGAAGCATAAGAATAGATACAAAATAGGCAGGGGGAGGTTAAGAACAGTATAGGAAGTAGAGAAGCCAAAGAACTTATATGTATGACCCATGGACATGAACAAAATGGGGGGAATGCTGGGGGGAGGGGTGGTGCAAGGTAGAGGGGAATAAAGGGCAGAAAAAAGAAAAAAAATTTAAATATGAAAAAAATAAAAGTGTAAATGTTATCTGTAAAAAGAAGTCTATCTTGTCTAATAACATAATCACTCTGGCTCTCCTCTGGTTACTGTCTACATGGGATATCTTTTTCCACCCTTTTACTTTCAATCTATTTATGTCCTTAAATCTAAAATGTGTCTCTTGTAGACAGCATATAGGTAGGACATGTTTTTGTTTTTGTTTTAGATTGATTCTGCCATTCTCTTTGTGTGTAGGGGGGGCGGGGTAAAATACACGTGACAATATTAAAGTGAACAATCCAGTGGCATTTAATACATTAGAGGTGATGATTGTGCAACCATCACCTCTATCTAGAACATTTTCATCACCCCCAAAGAAATCCCAGACCCATCAGCAGTCACTCCCATGACCCCCATACCCCAGCTCCTGGCAACCACTAATCCACTTTCAATCTCTACAGATTTTCCTGTTCTGGATGTTTCATATAAACAGAATCAAGCAATACCTGGTCTTTGTGTCTGGCTGCTTCCACTGAGCATGACGACTTACAGTTCACTTCTGTTGTCAATTTGCCTCTCGCCTGGCATCAGCCCACCTTGGCCAGACTGGACTCTCCCTTCTCCCACTAACACCGGGCATGTTTTTTCAGGACTCTGGGTGCCTGACTTTGCTGAGGTTCCAATCTATCTCAGTTTCCCTGCTCAGTTCAAGTCTCTGAATACTAATAATAGTGATCACTGATTGGGCACCTAGAATATGTGGAGCTCTGTGCTAAGCAATTCCCATGCGTTATTTCATGTAGTTTTAATTCTTGCAACAATCCTGGGAGAAAGAAACCATCACCATCTCCTCGCCCTGCCCAGCATGCTCAGCGCCTCACATACCTATGCCTTTCACTCACCCACAAGCCCCCATTTTCTAACACTGTGACACTGAGTGCGTTCCTTAATCACTTTGTGCCCCAATTTCTTTATCTGTAAATTTGGGATAATAATAATGACCTGCCTCTCAGAGTTGCTATGAAGACTAAAGAAGCTAACAGACATAAGAATCTAGCTTACCTGGTAAAATGATGAGCCCTTCCTTTCTGTGCTCACCACACCTGACATGCTGTCCTACTCTCTGGCTGGGTGGTCTTTGGCTTGTGGCCTCCCCACCACTGGTCCTGCCTCCTCTGCTAATCTCTCTCCTGAGGCCAGATCAGCCTTCTCTAGGGCAGCTTAGTTCCCAAAAGGAAAGAATGCGCACCTCCTGGATGAGAACAAATGCTTTTCCCTGGCACCTGAGGACCCCCAGGGTAGGGCCCTAGCCCACCTTCCAGCTCATCGTCCACAGCCCTTTTCTGGGGATCAGCCAATATGACTATCCCTTGTGTCCCCAGTGTGCCCTGTGCTGGCTGCTGTCACTTGCTCCTCTAGGAAGGGTCTCTTCCAATATCTGTCTGCTGAACTTCTATCCACCTTTCCAGAACCATCTCAACCCGCCTCAACCCCGGCTCCCTTCTCCCACAGCTCTGTTACCAGTTCTCTTTATGGCACGTGCCTCAGAGCGGTCCCTCCGTTTGATAAATGTTCTCTGTCAGCACCTTTATATCCGTCCTTCATCCTCACCTAATACTCTGTACCCTGGAGGCTGGCCCACAGGTGCTGTGTTTACCATACCTCTGGCCCTCCAGTTTAGCCAATGGGAGAATGAGAAGAGAGAGGGCAGGGTATTTATTTCCCAAGATTCAAAGACTTCCCCAAGGCTACAGGCCCTGATGGATAACCACGTGCTGAGCAGGGTGGCAAAAGGGTATATGGTCTAAGGCAGGCTCTGGGCCAGAAGCCTCAGCTCCTCTCCTGCTCCACTCTCACTGGCTGCAGTACCATCAGTAAATTAATGAACATTTTTTCTGAGTGTCAGTTTCTCACCTATAAAGCAGAGATTATAGTCTTTTCCACTTTTCACATGACTAGTTCCTATAGGTTTTTACTCACTTGCTCTGTCTGTCACGTGTGCTAGAACATGAACCCCTTTTCACCATGACTACCACGGTGCCTCCCTCACGGGAGGTCCTCAGTGATGATTAGTTTTTACTGAGGTGAGATTCACATAACATACAATCAACTATTTTGAAGAGAACAATTTAGTGGCATTTAGTGCACTCAAAATGCAACCACTGCCTCCATCTGGTGCAAAATATTTCCACCACCCCAAAAGGAGATCCTGTAACCAGTACACAATCACTCCCCATTCCCTATCCTGTCCAGCCCTTGGCATACACAAATGTGCTTTCTGTTTCTATGGATGTGCCCATTCTGGACACTTCATATAAATGAAATCACACAATATGTGGGCTTTGTGTCTGGCTTCTTTCCTTAATACTTGATGAATGCAAGCTTGGAACTTTGGTTCTGCCTGACTCACAAACAGGAAGGTGAGATGCCTGGGAGAAGAGCAAGGGGGAAGGGAGCCTGTGGAGGCCGGGTGGGTTACCTTTTCCATGGCTTCTTCATTGCCTTCCACCATCTTCCGGAGCTTTATCATCTGCCACAGTTCCTGGGCTGGTCGGCAGGTCCCCTGGCTGGCCTCCAGCAGCTCAGAGGTGGAGGGCAGTTCCTGCAGCATGGTCAGCTGGCTCTCCATTTTGTCAATACGGCTCACCACGTGGTCGAAGACGTTGCTCAGCCTCTTCATAGGGTTGAGGACGGGCTGAGCATCTCCTTCGCGGGGCATGAACATGGCCTGCGAGGACTGGAGGAAGTCCTCATCCCCCGAGAGGACCTTCTTGAGCTCAGCCATGTGGATGTGCTCCAGGATGCCATGGAGCAGAAGGTGCAGGGCCTTGAAGTTCACCACACCACACTGTGGGATGGCGATGTTGACCAGCTCGGAGAATGTGAGTGAGAAGCTCATCCTACCAGTGTTGTTGGCTGGGATGGGGTTCTGGGCAACCTTGGGGACAAATGGTGGCTTTCAGTGGACCCACAAGCTGCAGGAACAGATGCTCAGAGACCCAGAGAAGCTGCAAGTCATAGCAGTCAGGGAGAAAATGGCCTCTGTCCTGGCCAGAGTTTAGATGAGAGTTTTCTTGTTGCTAGGATACCAAAGAACGTGGCTGTGGGCGTGCTTCCGAGGGTCTGGAGCGGGACAGAGTAGGTACTCAATTAATAACTGATGAATGTCTGAACAAACAGCTGGCCGTTTAACTCAAGCCCTTTGATTATATAAGATCAATGACCCTTTCCAAGAAGCATGCCGGGAAGGTAATGGGAGTGGCAGCTTGCCCCTTGGAAGTCTCTAGAATTAGAACAGGAGACAGAGTTCTTGAAGCTGGGAAAGCCCAGGTTTCAGGAACAGAATCTAAAGAGCTAAGCTGGTTGCTGGACAGTGGCCAAAGCCCACACAGGTGTTCCAGTTTCTGGAGGAGGAAGGTAAAAGTGCGTGAGGCAGCCTGCATCCGTCAGGTCTGAATCCTGCAGGTCCCTGTCCTCCCGGGGACATGAGTGATCTTCCAAACTTTGCTGTGCTACCCCCTTGAGCTGGGGCGCACCAAGACCCCAGGACTCTAAAAGCCTTGAGGACATGGCCCACTGCTGCAGAAGTTGGAGGCTGCCTGGGCCCCTATATGTTCAGGCCCTGCTTTTGCCAGTTCTCAGACAAGAAAATGGCAGTCTGCTGGGCCGGGTCTCCTAGGGAGGTCTGCAAGGAAAGCCCCAACTCAGCCTCTGGAGCCCCAACTCTGATCCACCCCCAATTCCTGGCATATAGCACACACTGCTCCTACACAGCACACAGCATGAGTCCCACTCAGGGGCTGAGTTGGCTCAAGGTCAATCTTCCCCAGCCTCCCCACAGAAGAAACAGCGGTCACCTGTCCACTTTGGGTTTATGCGTATGACTCTCTCAGCAGCTGTGCGACCTTGTGTAAATGACCAGCTGGACTTGGGGGTGTTTCATAGCCTGGGTTCAGCAATTGAGGCCCCTGTCGGCAGGATCTGGAGCCAGACCCGGTAGCCAGTTCTATTTCTGATAACAGCTTGTGTTGCAGGTGGTCGATGTGTTCTGTCCAGAATCTTAAGCGCAGCGACCGTCCTGTGAGAGGACTTGACAACTCACCTTACAAAACAGCAGAGGGCCTTGGCATCCAGTGGACACAAACATCTTCACAGAAGACCAGACCCTACAGAGTTGCTCTGCTCCCATGAAAGGCCAAGACAAGCCAGATCAGTTGTAATTAGGTCTGAACTCAGACAAAAATAAGAATACTGCCTAAACCACAAACAAGACCAGATAGCCCCCTATCCTGGCCAATATGAGTAACCACTGCTTCTTAACCAAACAGAACTTTACCTGTTTCATTCATTATGCCTTTTAGATAAGACTGATTAAAATGTCCAGTCATAGAATTAGCCCTGCTTCCTGACAGTATCCAATCCAAAACACTCCCTCTAGTCATCTAACATGGGCATAAATTCTATAATAAGTCCTTCTAACTTAACCCTCTTAGGAGATGCCCCTGGATTCCCCACTGTGTTGCATGACCTAAAAATTCAAGGTGGGCTGCCTTGACATCTTTGAGCCTCACAGAGCCCTGAGTTCCCCTGTTTCTCTCAGATTTGCTCCCCACCCCCACCCTGCAGGAGAGGCTCTTCACCCCGCTAGTTCCCCCATCAGCGAGACCAGCTGCACTCCACCCCATCCTCATTGGAGGGGCTCCGTCTCTGTTCCTTGCCAGCTTATGAAACTGTTCCAACCAGCCCATCACCTCTTCCTGCAGGAACCAGGGGGCGCCCCACCCTGTCACTACAAAGCCTGTAGCCCACTGCCCCAGCTGGTTCACTCTATTCCTTAGTGCAACCCTGAGCGGTCCTGACTGGCATGTGGTGTCCCCTCCCCGACTCTGTGAGAATGAGTATATGTGGTTGATAACTGCTGTCGATCTCACCTGTCTAGTACTGGGTGTTGTACTAGGTGTGGGAGGCAGAGGTCCCTCCCACACCAACAGAGTGAAAGGGAGGTATCAGGACATGCATGGTAGGTATTCTTCCTTGTGGCAGCAAGTCAGTAAACCCAACTTAACCCAACTACGGTAGGTTCCTAATGGTCTTGGTTGGAGGGGCTGACCCTGTGAACTTACAAAAAACCTTGCAGTGGCCGGAGCTTTCTGGATTTTGGAACCTCAGCCAAGGGATTGTAGAGCTGCATTATTATGGAACCATAAGCAAGCATTTCCTACTTTGGCAAGGGAAGATCAGGGGAAATGGGTAGTTTAGTACAATCACACAGCCAGAGAGGTGAATGTGAGGCCAGACCAAGGAACTCCCCATGGGTCTTACAAAGAAATGTGAGCAATGAAATGTGAAGCAATTCTCAGCCACTGGGGGCTAGGCAGGGTACATTGAAGTAATGGCTCTTTGACATTCTGGAAGGATGCCCAGTGTCTAAAACCATTCCTGTGTCTGGAGAGGTCTCCATTTCAGGAGTCCTGGGAGAGGTCGAGTGTCAGTTACTAGTTCTCCAGGTTACTCTGAAGCTAGGGTACAAGCATTTATAGAAATGCCACAGTTGGTGCTGGCAGCTTCCAGGGCCCATGGAATATGTTCCTCTAGGACCTAAGAAAGTGAAGCTACTAAATCAGCCTAGGTTGCAGCAGTTCAGAGAGATGGAAACCTAGCTCAAAGAGCCCAAACTCATCTCAAGCTTTCCAGGTAAGGGCTACAAGCCAACAGCAAGATACTGAAATGTTTCCTGGCACCTGTCACTAGGCCTGACACTGACTCTTCAGTCTTTCCTTCAACCAATGTTTATTGAGTACCTACTAAGTGCCAGATGATGTTCTTAAATACAGAAGGGACCACAGTGAGCAGGTCTGACGTGGTCTCTGATCTCACAGAGCATGCGAGCTAGTGGGAGAGATGGACACTTATTTTACAACATAGAAATAAAATAACTTCAGGTAGCAATAGGAATTAGAAGGATATAAAACAGGACAAAATAAGAATAGAGGATGGGCCCTAATTTAGTAGGGTTGTTGGGGTAGCCAGCCTCCAAGACAGCTCCCAAGATACACATGGACTCACATGTTTATGTGGTCTGTTCCCATCCTATCCCAGCCAAACTGGTCACATACTTTATACACCAATGCATCTGTGTGCACACATGCACTCATTCATTTTACATTACAGAATGGCAACATTTGGGTAAGTTGTGTATGTTGCAGGTGATTTGATGTTGCTAAATTGGAACACGTATGATAAAAAAGACAAAGAAAAGCCAATGTGTTAGACTTGAAAGAATCCTTAAACTTTAAAAATCATGTCATTTTATGTCTGGAAATAAAATACTTTTTATAAAAATGAAAGACCTAAAGTCATGGCTGCTTGTGTAAAAGAAGCCACCAGCCCACTCCATAGGATATTTCCAGTTTCCCGGAGGACTTGCTGACCACAGGGAGGGACCCTGCTCTTACTTATGTCAAGGGACAGCAGCTGTGATCTGGCACTGTTTAGTTCTAATGGAAGAACACTAATTCAGACAATTTCAGGATGAACTTGTTACTGGGATAGCCTTTGAAATGCTAATTGGAGCCAGAAGCCAATTAACATTATTGAATAGCACTTTTTTTTTCCTCCCAAATAAATTGAAGTCAAAGATTAAGTCAGTCCAGCCAAGATGGAGGTGTAGGTAGAGACACTTTGCCTCCTCACACAACCAAAAGAAGGACATCAACAAATTTGAAAACAAAAAATAACCGAACTGCCAGAACATCGAACTGTATGGAAGTCCAAAAACCAAGGAGCAAAAGAAGAAGCATTCATCCATACTGGTAGGAAGAGCAGAGACGGGTAGCCAAGGAGGAGAGGATGCTTAGAAGGTGGCAGCTGGAAGACTGGGCGGGCAAGGCAGTGGCTGGCAGACCGGGCAGTCCCACATTTGTATGAGGATAAACCAGGAGGAACAACTGTAGAGAGAGACAGACCATGCAATCCAGGGTTCCAGAGTGGGAATAGAAAGCCTCAAAACCTCTGGAGGTAAAAGCCTGTAGGGGTTGCAGTGGTAGGAGAAACTCTCAGCCTCGCAGGAGAGTCTGTTGGAGAGGTCCACGGGATCCTAGAATGTACACAAACTCACCCACCCGGGAGTCAGCACCAGGAGGGCCCAATTTGCATGTGGGTAGTGGGGAAGTGACTGACAGCCAGCGAGAGCTGAGCAAGCGGCACTGCCCCTCTCAGACCCCTCCCCCACACACAGCTTCACAACTCAGCGACCTGGGTTGCCCCGCCCTGGCGAACACCTAAGGCTCTGCTCCTCCCAATGCTATAGGTCCATTGATATAAAGAAATATGGCCCAAATGAAAGAACAGATCAAATCTCCAAAAATAGAACTAAGTGACGAACAGACAGCCAACATATCAGATGCACAGTTCAAAACACTGGTAATCTGGGTGCTCACTGAGTTGACTGAGTATGGTCGCAAAACGGAGGAAAAAGTGAAGGCTATGCAAAGTGAAATAAGGAAAAATATACAGGGAACCTACAGTAAAGGGATGGAAACCAGGACTCAAATCAACAATTTGGAGCAGAAGGAAGAGAGAAATACTCAACCAGAACAGAATGAAGAAACAAGAATTCAGAAAAATGAGGAGAGGCTAAGGAACCTCTGGGACAACTTGAAACATTCCAACATCCGAATCATTGCGGTACCAGAAGGAGAAGAACAAGAGCAAGAAATTGAAAACTTCTTTGAAAAAATAATGAAGGAGAACTTCCCCAATCTGGCCAAGGAAATAGACTCCCAGGAGATCCAGGAAACTCAGAGAGTCCCAAAGAAGTTGGACCCAAGGAAGCACATACCAAGGCACATCATCATTACATTACCCAAAATCAAAGAGGAGAGAATCTTAAAAGCAGCA